CACTTATCTAAATACTTCAATTACCTAGCTTCGTATCAAGTTTAGCTATAGGTAAAGTAATTTTGAAATAATCATTTTAATTATTACGTATTTTGTTAATATTACATTCTTAGAATTACGGAAGATTCTGGTCTGTAATTATTGTGATGAGAGCTTTAGATAATTGGGTTCTTTGTTTTTACATTCTTGTTTTACCTATGTTAAATGATGTCTATTACTCAATAGATAGATAGGAGTTACCTATACATGTTTCATTTTTACCGACTTCATTAAAACCTCAAACCTTGAAATCCAGCTCAAAATATTAAAACTTTCCTATCTTAGGACTAGAATCAGTTCTAAGGTCCAACGGCTTAAGAATCCTTCTCAGCGCATAACAATTACATTCTCAAGCAATTACCGACCTTGTCCCCTTACCGCGTTATAATAAAACTCGCTAATTTCCCATGAAATCACCCGCTAGGGAATTCACGGGATGATAATTTTGTCGGACTGCCGCAGTTAGGGTATGCCGCGTCTAATTTAGAATTATTACCAGGACTTTGACAGCCCTAAGTGTTCATAAAATGCCGAGATTTCGCATCTCTAATGACTGAGGTCAAAGACCTACTGATGGTGTGTCGTAAATTTGATATAAGAATTGAAAACGTTGTTATCAAATGATGTTATTATCAACATCAGAATAGTTATATTATATTATATTTATTTATTAATACTTCTGTACAATAAACATACGATGGCAGACTTAATGCCTGGTTATAGTTCCTACAAAAGATACAGACTCATTCCTACTGAAGCTGCCTAAGAGAAGCATAAGAGAATCAAGTGTAGGGGAGCCATGCTTCGGCATGAATGGGCCGGTTCGGCCGGAGTGATATCACGGCCTCACAGAAAACCGACGTGAAACAACTTATGGTGTTTCGTTTTGTGAATGAGGTTACTGGAGGCCCAATTACCCACCTTCCTTATCTCCCCGATCCCGGAATCCCCTACAATCCTCAAATTTCTAGTCTCCAAAAGGCCGATAATGCACTTGTAACGCCTCTAATATCGGGTGTCTATGAGCAACACTAATTGCTTACCATCAGGTGATCCGTCTACTCGTTTATCGACTTATACCATAAAAAAGCATGGCCCTCTTACGTGGAATATATTAAGTATTTTGTATTCGCTATGACTTTAATAATGTATCATTATATGATAATACCAAAGTTAATATTAATGAAATAGATGTAGTATGTATACCTGTCTACCTAAACCAGAGACAGACAAATCCATGTTACCACATTTCGGGGACATTCAACTCAATACAGTTGATTATGCGAGCACAATGATATATTAAACCACGATTAATGGATTACCAGTAGCTTATTACATTATATATTAGCTAGTATATTAATAACTGCCTCGTTGGCCGAGTGCTCGCTAGTGTGACTGCCGGGCAAAGGGTCTCGGGTTTGATTCCCGGGTCGGGCAAAGTACTACTGGGTTTTTAAAACAATCTCAGAGGTAGCTCGGAGTCTTGAATAGTGCTAGATATATGGCAATAGGCTCACCCCCTATTACATGGGACTCATGACATAAATAATAGTGGGTATTACATTGTACAGTGGCATTAAGTGCCGTAACGTGCACCTCTGGCTACCCCTTCGGCGGTAAAAGGCGTGATATTATGTTATGATATATTAATAATTATCTTCGTAGATACACTATTGTATGTAAACCACAATCGAAATCCAGAACTATAGTAATACCATTTTGGTTTTAATATAGATAATAGATATGACAGAGTAAATTACAGGTTTATCATAATTAGGTATGTGAAATGATTAATTAATGAATAATGTCCATGCTTAAGTTTTATAATTGGTTGCGGATTTTGTTGTTTGTTTTTTATCGTGTTCATCAAATTGTGCAATATAGAAGAGACCGTCTCGACTCGAACGAATCGGGCGCAATAGGACTACTTCTTGATTTTGAAATCTTCAGTAGGTATGACTTTTGAAATTGTGCTCTATCTTAATCAAGTTATGGTGCAATAAGGGCATAGAGCATAAGCTTGTATTGTCATCATCATCAGCGGCTTAAGTGGCCACTGCTGACCAAAGGACTCTTCTCACACGGGGAAGGTTTGAGCATTAATCACCAAATGACGCTTGCTCAATGCGGGTTGGCGATTTTAAACTTAGGTATAATTAGAAATTATAAGCCCAGGTTTACCCACGATGTTTTTCCTTCACCATTTGTCAGTGGTGTCTAAATTGTCTTAGAAAGTACATATAACTTGGAGTTTGTATTGTAATGGAACAGGATTGCACACGGTAAGCAGCTGTACTAACGTGAAAAACGATTTGTAGTCATTCTCTTAAGTAATTAATTAAAAATAGTATATCTATCTCCCCCTTTAAAGCACTAAGGAATATACCGTTATCTTATATCTTATACTCTTATACTTATACTATTTTATAAAGCGGAAGAGTTTGTTTTTTTTGTTTGTTTGTTCGAACGCTGTAATCTCCGTAACTACAAGTCTGATTTGAATAATTATTTTTGTGTTGGATAGCGCATTTATCGAGGATGGCTATAGGCTATAAAACATCACGCTGCAACCAATAGGAGCTGTGAAACCGCGTGGAAGGAGCTAGTCAAATATATGTAGATAAATGTAGAAATACCTACGAGGAGTAAAAGTACTAATAATATTTATTTTCAATTCCTATTTCGACTTTGGCATATTCTAAAGCAGCCACTCTATGTCTTATGCACATCGGAGACCATTTCTCGATGTAGATTCATATCAAAGACAACAATACGCATGGGAACTATACGCGGGTGCACAATCAAACGTTGTCGGTCGTTCGCAAGTTCATATTATGTATACTGTTTGTAGCCAATAAAGAGATTTTTTTAATTCTTATAACGGGGGAAATCATGACTTCTCCCGCATGGATGAGGCGGAAGGGAGTGTCAGACTCTTACTGACTAAAAACCACCCCGTTCCTTCTCCTGCATGTCGGGCCGTAGCCCCGGTAATCCATTAGGTTCTCCGCGACTCGGAATCGGCATCAGCTCTATTGGGCCCCATCCGTGGTGGTTTGATGGCTCTTTGAGGCGCGCGCGGAACGCGACGAGCCGTACGCTCGGGAGCAAATAAAGAACTTGGAATAGTAATTATGTATAAAAAGTTTATAAATTGTATTTTTAGTTTCATTTAAATCAAAATACAGATTTTAAAAACCGTCATTGGTTAATTCAAAGTTCAGAAAAAGTATTGTTGTGTATTCCCCATTTTTTATTCTTCTCTTTCTTCAAGGTATTCAAGATCCGTTATTAGATATTCAATTCCTGTAACTCAAGTAGAACGGCGCTGAAAGACTAGTCTTCTATTGTATGTGACTATTACGCCAACGTGTACCTATCACATTGACTCACATCTGATTGTTTGCGTATCAATGACAATACGCGTATGGCGTAGTATGAATCGATTGTGTCATTTGAGGTGATTTGTGTCATTCGTATTCCGATAGATTATAATATATAGACACATGACACGGTATTGTTGGTAATATCAAATGTCATATAACCAAATAGTAGCTGTATACATGTAGATTAGTTGTCTAAAAGGATAAGTTTATGCAGCACATGCCGTTAAAAAATTAGACATTTAACCGATTTATGCAGCTATACACTAGTTTAGTTATTTTCATAGTACCTATTAGGCATTATTCTTAACCTACCCAGGCAACAACAATACATTTATTTATTTATTTAGGGGACAATATACGCAATGATAATCATTGTGAAATTCGTTTACTTTAAATTTCACAATGACTGTCATTATGAAATTTATATGCTTTGAATTTCACAATGACTGTCTTTATGAAATTAATTTACTTTGTACATAATTATATGCTTTACTTGTGTATAGCGTATATACAAATTTAATAAAAATAAACCTTAAAATTTAATCTCTTTCAGTTGAAAATTGATTGGCAACTGACCACATGCCAATTATATTATGATTAAAATCGCTATCGATATATGTTAAAATAATTTTAATGAGCAAAAGCTTTGATTGACTCAGTGGTGCAATAGTGGTCGCAAGAGCGACAACAGAGTATAGAGCTTGGGAAACTCATGTGGAATATTTATTATTGGTTACTGACATTTTTGGTCAGCAATTTCTCAGTATTAGCACGGAGCTTGGAGGTGTGCCCGGTATTTAGCAATAGGACAACCCCCTATTACATGGGACTCATAACATAAATAGTGAAAAGTGGGTGTTACACTGTATAGTGACATTATGTGCCGTAATGTACACCTCTGCCTACACCTTAGGGGATAAAGAGCGTGATGTTATGATGATAATGTTTATTTGTTCTGTCAGCAGAAAATCATAATTTTATAATAATTGTTATAGTAACTTAGACGCTATTTTTAACTTATAAAGATAGATAGATAAGATATACCTACCTAATAATAGATTTAAAGACATTTATTTAAAACGACACAAAAAGTCATTCGATAAAAACAACATTGCTAGACACATTCTTAAAAAAAATATATTTCAAAAGCATTCAAATTCTTTACAAACTTACGTTTAAAAGAATTCGAGAACCCGATAGCAATATGGCGGGCACTTTTACCAGAGAGGCACAAATGTTTTTTTTATCTTTTCACGCAGTTTTTTAAGTTGATAGTGTAATTTCTCAAAGGTAATTTGATAAAAAGAGTAACCTATAGAGTTTCTTGCTCGTTCTTCTCCATAGGAATCTACACCTTGGAATGAGCAACAAGCTTCACTTCTAAATTTCTGTTGTTGACGTTCAAAAGTGCCATCCTGGTCTAATTGAAATAAATGATTTTGACTTTGATATAGGTAAATGATTAAGATTGATTTTAGACATTACTTGTATCGACTTTCAATCAAAACCATAGAGTTTGTATTAAAATCGGTGTTGTAAACGTTCCTCATTACAAAATCACTTATTTTGTTACAGAGCCAACTGTGGGACGAGTACGAGCTAGAGGACGCTACTTTCGCAGAGTGCAGCATCAACAACGCCAACAACAGCTTCCAAGTATGTTAAACTTTATTGCGTTGCAATAAGAACTGTTTTCACAGTAAATTGTTTCTCTTAATAAATATTGACTAGTTTACTTGTGTAAGAGATGGCTGTTTAGGGAATTTATTTAGTTTGTGTATGGAGAACCTAATAGTTCTCGCTTTATTGTATTACGCTACCTATATCTTCGACTGTTAAAGAACTGAATGATTTTAGAATTTTACTCTCTAACTATTTCATCATCAACAGCCTATAAGTGGGTTTTTTATTTTTCTCCTCTTATAATATCTTCAGATTCACTTCGTTGCGAGAACCAAGGCAGTTATTTATGTCCCTGGGACGCGCCAGACTTCAGTGCTCCGGTGTTTTCATGGTTGTATCTACTGTAGATCCTGACTTACAGGAGTTGCAGTGGTTTTGAGAGGTTTTGGCGGGCTTGTCCCATTTAAAAAAAAAGCCTATAAGTGGCCACTGCTGACTAAAGGCCTCGTACGGAGAAGGTCCGACCGTTACTCACTTGCACAATGCGGGTTGGCGATTACAAACTTATAATTAGAAATTAAAAGCCCAGGTTTCCTCACGATGTTTTCATTTATAGTTTGTCAGAGTGGTCTCTAGGTCTAGCTAGGTAATCTTAAAAAGTACATACAACTCTGAAAAAGTCACATTGGTACTTGCCGTTAGTAAGTTTCGGACTCGCACCTTCATGCATGGCCATTTATACCCTCTAACTATTTGTACATAGCAAATAATTTACTGAATAAGTAAATAATGGCGTCATTATTTATCATTATATTTTTACTGTACGGCTGGTGCGATGGCTGGGCAACCGGCCGCGCAACGTGTCGCAGGTTCGATTCCCGCACGAAACAACTCTTTGTGTGATCCATAGATTGTTGTTCCGGGTTTGGGTGTCATGTGTATGTGAACTTGTATGTTTGTAAATGCACCTACGACACAGGAGAAAATCCTAATGTGGGGAAACGTGTTTAAAAAAACATTTATTATCTAAATTTCGGTTAACACGTTAAACGCCATGGCAGTCACTGGTGACCGACATTAGCGGAGGATTTGCCTTCAATAGTTTTTTATTGGCAGCCAATGCCTTAATCTAACTGACGGATATTTGACATGTATTCCTGACGACATAAGTCGAAATACAGTGTCAAATAGGTAACAGCAACGTACTCAGGCAATAACAAACAGGGCCTTAATATTTATGTCTTTACCCTGTATAGTTTAAAGCCGTACGATGAGATGTTATGTATTTTATACAACACACATTTTAATATTAAAAGCTGCATGATTTATGACATTGAAATGGTTTTAGCGTGGTAATCTGAATCTTGTATCATTAGATTTGAGTGACAGTGGGTGCGGCGTACCACTTACATTATATACATACGATCGATATAATTATGTATAGAGATATATATATCTGAAATTTTAGCCGTGCGTACATATACTTTTTTTAAGGGGGGAAAATCATCGAATGACTGCTCCCGCCTGGTTGAAGCGGGAGGAAGTGTCAGACTCTTACTGACTAAAAACCACCCCGTTCCTTATCCTGCACGTCGAGCCGGAGCCCCGGTTACCCGTTAGGTTCTCCGCGACTCCGAATCGGCATCGGCCCTATTTGGGCCCCATCTGTGGTGGTCTGATGGCTCTTTGACGCGCGAGGACGCGACGCGCCGCGCGTTGGCTTGACTTAAAAGTTCATTAATCAGATCAGGAACAAATATTCTTCATTTAATCGTATCATCAGTCGCCTGCGTAGAAGTCGCCACGGTCTCCTGACTGCTATAGTAGATAGACGGTAGACATGACTGTCCATTGATGTGGAAATTAGTGCAGCGGACTAAGTCCCTGTTTACTATTGCTTATTAATATTGTACCTAAATAGATATAATTATGTATGATTATGTTCTTCCTTTACTATTAGTTTGATGGATCTCAGTTATCTGAATAAATAAATTATTATTACTATTAATTAACTAAAGTTATAATATGTTCTTTTTCGTGTTTTCTATAGAGCAATTATTCTCCTTCGTTAATTGCTATGAGGAAAAGTGAATAAATAGATGTTATATCTGTAAAACAAACTCATAAAGCAGAGGAGGAGGAATTAGCTGACCAATCAATATTCTATCCAGTGTAACGTAAAGGTATCGTGTTTATTACTTAGTTACATCATGAATTTTAACAAGATTTTGAAGGGCCGCACCACTTTTACCAATTCTTCCCATCCGTGCATGAGCGGCTGACTGCCTCATTTCATTTCATTTCATTTATTCAATAAACAATTTACATTGTATCTGAATGTCTTCATAATCATAAATTACATTGCAATATAAATCCCTGCAGCATGGATCAGGACAGTCTCTTTTTACGCCGTTAGGCTTAATTCATTCTGTCTCCTGCAGTAACACACCGAAAGTAGTGGAAACTATCATTTAATTTCTTCTGCTCTTATAATATCTTCTGATTTATTTCGTTGCGAGAACCAAGACAGTTATTCATGTCCCTGTGAAGCACCGGACTTCAGTGTTCCGGTGTTTTCACTGTAGATCCTGACTTACAGGAGTTGCAGTGGTTTTTGAAAATTATGGCGGGCTTGTACCATTAAAAAAAATTGGATACATCTTTTTCTAAAACTATAGGCATTCTTCGTACTTAATGGTCCTACAATCTACCTCATACTACAGTCTTCTAGAAGTATTTTAGTTTTGTTTGCTGAGCTCTCGGAGCATCTCAGACGTAACTGAGAGTTTGCGATCCATTACCGAAAGCTAAACATTGATACACGTGGCGCTACAGTGTGAACGAACTTATTGTTATGTTACTCTCATGTAAAATAGAATTTAGCACAACGAAGGGAATGTACGGAATGTTACATACTGCTGTTAGTAAAATATTTGCAGAAGGAATAGTTTCGAAAATGACAAGAGATATATGACTGACTTTGCGAGTCTAAAATTTAACTCATCCAGCAAAACATTTAGACTGATGTTGGTCTTAAACATAACATAACATAACGCCTTTTATCCCCGAAGGGGGTGGCAACGGTGTACATTACGGCACTTAATGTCACTGTACAATGTAACACCCACTTTTCACTATTTATGTTGAGTCCCATGTAATAGGGAGTAAGCCTATTGCCATATACCGGGCACAATTCCAGACTCCGTGCTAAAACTGAGATTTTTTGAAAAATCCCAGTATCTACTACTTTGCCCGATCCGGAATTGGTCGGTTGGTCTCAAACCTTGGCGTGTAGGTTTATTGCAACCACTTGACCATAGAAACCATCACTAAACAAAACCACGTGTGGAAATGCGTCCTACAAATCATCGCCTATGACTTCTCTTTGCTTAAAAAAAAAGTACTCCAAACAAACAAGATAATATCTATCACCTTAATCAAAAATTTAACACACACACACTAAATCCTCGACATCATCACACAACAATAATAAACAAAAACACTATAATATAACCCTCCACGGCGCAGTGCACGGTTTTATACCCCTCCACCCTGATTCGCGTCACGCACGTAAAATAGCGTGTTCCTTTAAATGGGTCACGCAGTCACGCCGTAACACGTCACTTTGCTCGTAATAAGGTGTACAGTGAGGTCTTAATAAAAGAACTGTGGGGTAAAGAAAGAAAGGTAATCGACTATTAACACGTCGGTAAAGGGGGTGAGATTTACTACACCGTGAAAGGTGGAATTCCAGGGTTGTGAGATGGTATTTTATTCATGGTAATGTGGTTATTGTGACGGTGTCTTTGTACTTAAGTAGCCTCTGGGGTATACTTGGATTTCTTAAGTTAGTATTAAACAAAGTTTTTCAATTCGTGGTGGTTGGACTTGCTGGTGCAACTCTTTAAAGATTAAAGTTGTTGGTTTAACTTTATACTGAGATTGAGTTGAGTGTCAGAAAGTGTTCTTGTTGTAGAATACTATTTGCTAATATTACTCCCATAGGGTCCTTTTTTAAACTATTTAACTCGTCGAGTACCGTCATTATAGACCGCTTGGTGTTTGACAGTTTAATGTATAATTTAGTACTGTTTACATCAAAGTGGTTGCAAGTGCGACTGCCGAGCAAGGGGTCTTGGGTTTGATTCCCAGGTAGGGCAAAGTATCACTGGTTTTTACAAAATTCTCAGTTGTAGCACGGAGTCTGAAAATGTGCCCGGTATATGGCAATAGGCTCACCCCTATTACATGGGACTCATAACATAAATAGTGAAAAGTGGGTGTAACATTGTACAGTGGCATAATGTGCACCTCTGCCTACCCCTTTGGTGATAAAAGGCGTGATGTTATGTTATGTTATTTACATGAAACAAATAACAAGCTTCCAAAAACTCCCAGTTAAATAACGACAACCTCCACTGTTTACAGGATTCAAATTAAAACAATTATTTATTTAGTCGCCCTGATCCTTAATCACAACTTTAAAAGGGCACAAAATAAAGGTAAATAGTACCTTTGAAAACTCATAATTGTTCCACAACAAACTCAGCCCTCCAATCATTTCGTCATCCGAGGAAAAAACCGACCATCCGAAGAATAACAAGATATCCCGCCGGGCCGGTCCCGGGTTCCCGAAGTTTTTAAACAAGTTCACTCCGAATTTTTCACCGGACAAACACGGTGACCCTCTAAGGGGTGAGTTTCGTCCCCTTTACTGCCGTGATTAAAAACCGAAAAACCATTTTATGCGCCTTTTATGACGCAATTAGTTTCACGTACTTGGTCGTGGTATGTGTCACGCTCTGATTGTGGGATTGTTTTTCTTAAACTTGTTTTAGTGTGTCAAACAGATTTTGGGGTTTTCATGATAAGTTTTCTTCAATTAATTTCTCATGTTGACCATCTATCAACACAAAACAATCATCTATATATCCATATATATAAAAACGAAACCCGTTTTCCGTTGTCACGGCATCACGCGTGAATGGCTGGACCGATTTCACTAATTATTTTTTGTTGTGTTTGTTATTATT